GCTTCTCCTCCTCAAACTACCCCTTGTAGGTGGGGTACCCCAATAGGAACATGTTCCCCCTGAGGAAGACCAGGGCGGTCCTCTTTGGCGGGAGAATGTCGCCAGCTGTTGATAAAAATTCTCTCCACAGCGGCGGAGCTATGGAGTGTGGTGTTGTATTTAATAAATAAGTTCACCCACGCCTTCCTGTGCTCTTCTGGTGTGGTCCCTATGCATTACCTGTGGTTGGTTGACCAGTGGCATGTTTGAAGCATTCCAAGGCAATTATTGTCCCTAGCCCATTTTGCTCGAGTAGGTTCAAATGAACATTTGGCCGCCTCATGTCCATGTCAAAAACATATGTAGTACATCACATGTGTGCAAATGAATAAGCACACGAATGGACCATTTTGTCTCAGGGATGGAATGCCCATCTTTGGACCTCATGTTTAGTCAAACATCATTTGCACTCAGGCTTCCTCCATGATTATGCTGAAGTGGGCATGTTTCATCTGTAAACCACAGATTAAGCCTCTTAAGATGAATTTCAATTTTTAATGGTGTTGCAGAGGATCGGGCATTTAACAGAAAAGCATTGAAATCATTTGTTAGATTATCAACCAAGCCAATATAAGAAGGAAAGGAAACTGTTGCCAGGGGCAGTACCTCAGAGAGCGCAGTCATGGTTGAGGAACTAATATTGCAGCTGCAATAGCTTTGGTTGTTGTCAGGATGACGGCAATGAGCCAAGACTTCAAATTTTATGAATTAATGGTCAGACAAAGCAATAGGATACAGTAACACAATTACCCTTGGAGACCTGGAGACTTTTCATTCAAGTGAATGGACCCGACAAGCGGTGTGTACCACTCAGTAAAATTTGTCTCACAATTCGCATATTTCATCTATTAGTACATATAAAGTTGTTGTATGGTTAACTTCGTTGTAAAACATAAAACATGTACTACTCAATTTTTATGACTTGGTAGTAGGCAGCTTGGCCTACGTTTTAAAACCACCTCGAAGGAGGCTCCGGAAAGCGGTTCAGTTGTAACCACATAGCTCCAAGAAAGTGTAATGAAAAATCAACCACACATGGTGGAGCCAGGCTATTTCAGTGTGGAACTGGTACAATGGAAATGCGGCTCGAGTCCCATCCCGCTGATGACCAATCCATCCATCCAGCCATCCATCTATCTATCCATCTTCTGATCCCTTACCCTCACGAGGGTCGGGGGCGTGCTGTAGCCGATTCCAACTGTCTTTGGGCAGCAAGTGTCGTACACTGCAAACTGGTTGCCAGCCAATCAGAATCAGAATTGGAATCAGAATCAGAATCATCTTTATTGGCCAAGTATGTAGAACACACAAGGAATTTGTCTCCTGTAGTACACGCTGCACTAGTATCATCATAAACAAGGACATAACAAATAAGTATGGAATGACATTCCGTAATGTAAGTGAACCTTTGTGCGGTGGTACCACCCAATGACAACTGTGAGAGAATGTGAAAAGTATCAAGTAAAGCTGAAGTGATCAGTGGTAGAATACAATACTATAACAGTTGTACAGTTGATGCAGAAAATCATTGAACCATTTTAAAGTGAGAGTGGTTCAAGTGAGTCCAGAGCTGGAGCTACAATGATTATAACGGTAATGCTGTTCCACAGGGTTTTGCAAAATTGCAAAGAGCCACTATACAGGTAGATTTGGGTTACTGTTTAGGGCAGGGGTCTCAAACTCGATTTAGGGAGTTAATGGCTAGAGGGAAGAAGCTGTTTAAGTGTCTGCTGGATTTGGTGCGTGTGGATCGGTAGCGCCTGCCTGAGGGGAGTAGCTGGAAAAGTTGGTGGGCAGGATGCGGGGAGTCCAGTAGGATTTTCCGTGCCCTTGTTTTGGTCTTGCTGGGTGCAAGTCCTCAAGTGTGTGTAGGACGGTGCCAATTATTTTTTTTCTGCCGTCCTAACTGTCCGTTGCAGTCGGCTTTTGTCCTTTTTTGTGGCGGCCCCAAACCAAACCGTGATGGAAGAACTCAGGATTGATTCGATGACTGCCGTGTAGAACTGACTTAGCACCTCCTGTGGCAGGCCATGATTCCTCAGCAGCCTCAGGAAGTACATCCTCTGCTGGGCCTTTTTCAGGATGGAGTTGGTGTTGACCTCCCACTTCATGTCCTGGGAGACTGTGATTCCCAGGAACTTGAAGGTCTCAACGGTTGACACAGGGCAGTTGGATAGTGTGAGGGGCAGCTGTGGTGAAGGATGTTTCCTGAAGTCCACAATCATCTCTACCGTCTTGAGCGTGTTCAGCCCTAGGTTTTGTTGGCTGCACCAGAGCTCCAGCTGCTCCACTTCTTGTTGGTACGCAGACTCGTCGCAGTCTGTAATGAGACCGATGACTGTGGTGTCGTCTGCGAACTTTATGAGTTTGACGGTTGGGTGTGTTGAGGTGCAGTCGTTCATGTAGAGGGAGAAGAGCACCCCTGTGGGGCTCCAGTGCTAGTGGTAGGTGTTGATAATGTTGTTCTTCCCAGCCTCACTTGTTGTGTTTGTCCCGTCAAGAAGCTGAGGATCCACTGGCAGATCGTAGGGGACACACCGAGCTAGAGAAGTTTGGCTGTGAGGAGTTCCGGGATGATGGTGTCAGCATGTATTGTATTGTATTGTAAGGCAGAGCTGAACAGGATCCTTGTGTAGGTTCCTGTGCTGTCGAGCTGCTCCAGGATGTAGTGCAGCCCTATGTTGACTGCATCCTCCACAGACCTGTTTGCCCGGTAGGCAAACTGAACAGGGTCCAGCAGGGGTCCGGTGATGTCCTTGTGGTTCAGCACAAGGCGTTCAAAGGACTTCATGACCACAGATGTCAAAGCGACAGGCCTATAGTCGTTCAGTTCCGATATTGCTGGTTTCTTGGGAACTGGGATAATGGTAGACCAGGGGTGTCAAACATACAGCCCGCGGGCTGGAACCGCCCCCCAAGGAGATTCGATCAGGCCTGCAGGATGATTTTAAAGTGAAAAAAATGCATAAAAGACACGGAATTAATATTTTTAATCAGCTGCAATTCATGGAGTATCTGCTCAGGGACACACTGTTTTGATCAGAGTAGAAGACAACATTGTTTTCATCAGAGAAGAAGACAACAGCAGTCTCAGGTGAAAAGGACACTTTGATTCGCTCCTCTTTCATCTATAACTGCTTCAGACAACAACGTGTATGCAGGAAAGTGGTTAAGATTGCACGATTGTCTGTGTCTTATGTATTGTGCTGTATTATTTTGTCATTTTTTGTTAACTTTTCTTTTGATGGCAGCGCGGACACCCGCAGCGGCTCCTCTTGTTTTATGTTGAGCGGGAAGAAATTTCATCTGTGCTGTATGTTACACATACGTACAGCACATTTGACAATAAAGTTGTATTCAATTCAATTCAATTCAGTCCGTCACTGAGACAGACCCATCACAGCAGACAGTTTCCTCCCACATTCCAAAAACATGCATGGCAGGCTGATTGAACACTCAAGATTGTCCCAAGGTGTGAGTGTGAGTGCGGATGGTTGTTCGTCTCTGTGTGCCCTGCGATTGGCTGGCGACCGGTTCAGGGTGTCCCCTGCCTTCTGCCCGAAGACAGCTGGGATAGGCTCCAGCACCCTTTGTATACAGCGTATTAAAGTGCTCTATAAATACAGTTGAGATGAGGTGAGAATTAAACTGTTAGAGTATTTTCCCAAGCAATTGTAAACAATTATGTGAACCTAGCCCGTCTTTGCTTTTGATTGAGCAGTTCAGGGAAGCTCCTTTTTATCCAATTATGGCACCATCCTGTTCCCAGTTCGCCTGTTCACCTGTGGAATGTGCCAAACTTGTTTCTTGAGCATTCCTGAAGTTTGTTGCCACCTGTATCAGCTTTATTGGAACATGTTACAGCCATAAATTTCTAAAAGGTCATGATTATTTGCGAAAAACAATTAAGTTTATCAATTTGAAAATTAAATATCTTGTCTTCATACTGTATTCAATTAATTTACCTTGAACATGATTTGCAAATCATTGTATTCTCTTTTTATTTATGTTTAACCCAACATCCCAAACTTCCTTGGAATTGGTTTTGTAGAAAAAAAAAAACAACTAGCGAGCTCATATTACACATTTCATAGTGCGTTAACCTCCGGCGTGTGTTGTCCACAGGTGTGAACCAGTCAAACCTGTGAGACAGGTTACTTAGACTACATGAGTCAACAAACTTCCAGAATATAGTTGATAATTTTACTTTTTAAATAAATGTTGTTTGCTTTGTAGAGTCAACAGTCATTCCCTGGCACAAGTCGCAAGCACACACACACACACACACACACACACACACACACACACACACACACACACACACACACACACACACACGATGGAAATCTCTCTTGGACAAGCTCATGACCACATCCTGTTCCTGCTTCACATCAGTGTTTGCATGTGTGTATGTGTGTGTGTGTGTGTGTGTGTGTGTATAGATTGTGTATGTTTGTTTTTGTGTGTGCATGCTTGTGTGTGTGTGCTCTGCTCTATAATTTGTAACCAACAGCATTTTATCGTTTTAGCCTCGAGGCCAATGAAATTAGGGATGGGCAATATTAAAATTTAGGAGAATTTAAAAAATGAAGCATGTTCACACAAGAGATTTGCATGAATAATTGATGCAGAAATAGTCAATAAACATTACTAAAACAAATGTCACTCAACAACCGGAGGTTTTATCCATGTCCATCAATCCATTATCTGAATTGCTTTATCCTCATTCTCATGTTGAATTAAATTGTAATCATAATCTTTCACTATTAATGAATAGACACACTGCAGAAGCATTCTCTTATTCAGTAGACAGACAAAGGTAACTGTGCTCTCTGTACTGGGATACACTTTGTCTTTTAGCAAACTTTCTTGCAGTGTCTTTTGCCAGATGTCATGCATGATAGTGGTTGGAAAGCTAAAAGTTCTTGTGTGTGTGTGTGTGTGTGTGTGTGTGCGTGTAGCTTGGTGGATGATCGCTGTGTGGTGGAACCAGCTGCCGGAGATCTGGACAACCCCCCCAAGAAGTTCAGAGGTCAGATGGGTTTTTGATTTTTGTATCTGTGTGCCTGGGTGTACGCATGTGTTTCCATACCTTTGGTCAGTGTTCTAATGTTTTGATGTTGAAAAGATGGGACACACACACACGCGCGCGCGCGCACACACACACACACACACACACACACACACACACACACACACACACACTACGTTTAGACTGCAAGTCATAATACTCAATTGGGTGAAACACGATTTTAATGTGTAATCATTCACATTTCATATGAATTGCAACCTCAGTGTATCTGGTGAGTGAATCAAATGGGTCACCAAAGTGACCCGCATGTACAGAAGAAGTAACAAGATCACTCACAATGTAATATTTTTAGGTTCGAACCCAAACCGAAAAATGTTTTCGGATCCCAGAAATGCAGGCACAGACAAACTGTGTTAACATAAATATTTATTTCTAGAAAAACGCATTGACCAAGTACAGACAGAAATCGCTGGTCACAAGGAGCCAGGAAAATCAAGGCATAAACAAAAAGTGCTTGCTAAAGGCAGTGTAAACACCAAGAATAAAAGTGAAATGACAAGAGTCCAATTCACACATAAAACAAGAAGATCGAACAGAATAAATGATACCAATACTAACAATATGAGGAACAAAGAGAGCAAAATGACTGTACGAGATTGAGAGGTCTTGAAAATAACACTTGAGCGGAAACAGAAAGCAAGGTCAATAATCTAACAAAGAGTAGCCAAATAAAAACTGGGCAAGGATTTGATTGGGAGTAAGGAACAGGTGCACCTGCTTGAGGTGAACGACTTTCACTCCAGCTGAAGCTGGAATAAAAACAAAGAGAGACATTTTTTACAGAAGTAAATATGGATGTGGATGCAGCAATTTACGCTTGTGTCACATTGTTCATTTACAGTCAAAGTCAGCAAAATTACAATCAACTACTTCGAGATGCTTGTGGAGGCTCTCAGTCGAACAGGAAAGTTCCATCGTAGAAAGGGTTCCGTCAGTCGTCATCTGTACCTGTGGGTAAAAAACAAGGACTGGGTGGGGATGGTTAGTCAGCATGTCTATGTCCCTTGGTGGTCAACAAGTTATTGTAAATAGGAGACAGGTTAAATCTGATACCTCCTTCACGGTTCAGAGAGGGTGAACATTTTTTAACAAAAATCGCTTCCTTTACTGCCCTTTCAAACCATCTCTTTTCTGTTTCTAGGATTTTTACTTGTTCACCTTCAATTGTGTGGTTTGTTTCTTTTAAATGTGCGTTTACTGCACTTTTGTTATCATTGTTTTTCCATTTGTGTTGATAAAGTCTCTTGTTGATCAGTGCTGATCAGGCTAACTGAAAGTAGCTATTCAGCCCGAGCCCAAACAATAGGCCTAATCAAGACCCAACGATAGGGAATTAGAAATCAATGGGCCTCTTCACCATCGGGGCGTGACTAACCATCCCCACCCAGTCCTCAAATAGGCCACGCTCAGCTTTTTAGCGCAGAGCAATTTCCCGGAGTCTTCACGGAGACTTCAGAGTTGTCTACCGCTGACGAAGCTTCTGTAAGAGAAGCGAAACGTCCTTTTTTTTTTGTTTTTGTTTTTTGTTTTTTACCCACAGGTACAGATGACGACTGACGGAACCCTTTCTACAATCAACTACTTCTAAAAAGAATCTTGAGAAAGAAGAGAGTGAGCATTTTAGCTTTAGCCTTTATGTGGAGCAATGGTTTCTACATCGGTTCACAAAGTGTGTGGTTGATGGGTTGTAGCTGGCAGTGGTGCGATAGCAATGTTGCTGGTTTTGACAACACTGACTTTATTTGGAATTTCAGAATGATAAGGACTTTTATTCATGTCACTTGTCCCTCTAAATATTAATTATATCTAAAACAGTCTGATCGTAGCCCTATGCACAATCACACACAAACTCACACACACTAAATCTCAAGACACACATTCAGTACAAACACAGACACTCACCATTTGTGCTTCAGTTGAACTAGTTAACTAGATTAGAGTGAACGACAGATGCAAGTGAGCAGGTGTGTGTGTGTGTGTGTGTGTGTGTGTGTGTGTGTGTGTGTGTGTGTGTGTGTGTGTGTGCAAAGTAAAATGATGAGTTTACAAACACAGCCTGACCACAGAGCGTCATGTTGAAGTGAGTCCATGGCTCAAGATTTGATGCAAATGGGCCTTCAGCAGGCAAATGTGCGGCTGACCATGTTGGCAAGCTGACTTTCTCCTCGCTGCCAAGGACGTCCATATTTGGTGGAACTCATGTTAGGTATGGCGGACTTGGACTGATTCCACTGAAAGCAGCCAATTAAAGGGAACAAGATTGTTTGTTTTTCACATTTGAAGAGTTTCCAGGCCTTAGAAAAACATCTCTGACATTCTTATGTCAAAATCCATCAAGGACAAAGAATCACATCCCACTTAACTCACAATTTAAACCATTTGATTTTGGGGGGCAGTTTGGTCTCATGCAAGTGTAGAGTAATGCTTGTGTTAGCATGTTCCACTGACCATCGACGGTGCCGCAGTGGACAGGGTGAGTAGCACCAAATTCCTTGGTGTGCACATCTCTGAAGACCTGACCTGGAGCCTAAATACTACCTCACTTGCGAAAACAGCCCACCAGCACCTGTACTTCCTCCGCAAACTGAGGAGAGCAAGAACCCCGCCCCTCATGATCCAGACTTTCTATAGAGGCACAATTGAGAGCATCTTGACCAACTGGATCACCGTGTGGGACGGCGCTTGCACCGTGTCCTGCAAAAAGAGTCTGCAGCGCATTGTGAGTGCGGCTGAGAAGATCATTGGTGTCTCTCTTCCTCCACTCGCGGACACTTACAACTCTCGTCTGACCCGCCAAGCCACCCAGATCGCAGGTGACCCCACCCACCCGTGCGACAGCCTCTTCGACCTGCTACCGTCGGGGAGGAGACTGCAATGTCTCTCTGCTAAAACCAGCAGGCTCAAGAATAGTTTATTCCACCAGGCGGTCAGGAGGCTAAACTCCCTCCATGTTCTGCCGCACCCCCCTGTCTACCCCTGCCTCCTGCCACAATCGGTGTCCCTCCCCCAGCATCTGACATCCGATTATTGCACTTAAAACAAGTCACTACGAATATGCAATAATCACAAGTGCCCTGTGGTTGTCTGTTGTTGATATTTGTTTATTTATTTAATTTATTTTTATTTAACATATTTATATATTTATGTCTGATGAAATTTTTATGTAAATTTTAGCTGTGTGTGTTCAATGCACTACATATTTGCACTGTGGTTGAGAGAGTAAAGTAATTTCATCTGTGCTGTAAGTTACACATAGAGCATATTTGGCAATAAAAGCTGAATGACTGACTGACTGATGATGACCTTGGGCGGAGCTTCAGTGTTGTGATGAAGTGAAGACTACTCAGTATTGGCAACTTCACGAGGTAGAATTTGGCCACAATTTCGCTCTATTATAAAACAGTGATTAAGAAAGTGATTAATGTCAAGTATAAACTTTTTGTGGTGGTTTTAGAGATTTGGATCTTAAGTCATCCACCCTAAGTCTGGACCACTTGCTAATTTAACCACATGCTCCCTTAAATGAGCGTCAATGAAGATTTTATTTTATTTTCTCTGGTGGAGGCAGCACTTGATCACAATGCCACCAAATACAGGAATCCCTCGTTTATCGCGGGGGTTATGTTCCAAAAAGAACTCGTGATAAGTGAAATCCGTGAATTACGATTTATAAAAACAAAGCAAAAAAACTGTGAGGGAAGAAATAGTTGTGCTTGATACTTGATAGTCAGCTTTATTTTTTGCAGTTATTGTACAATACTTAACTATGTATACAATGCAGAGGCGATTGCTCTAAGACTGCAAGGGAAGCTCAGCTTCCCCTAAAATGTCAAAAAGTAAGTGATCAAATATATGTGTGTACGTACAATTGTGTGGACATGTCATTGACTAAATATGTGCGACAACGTTCTCAACTTTTGTTCCGTATCAGCTTCTTATTACTGGTTATGAAGCTCTCTCTCTTTTCATTAATTCTCGCAGCTTCACTGTGGCTTTCAACTGTGTGGACGCTGAGCGTCGACCGCGCGGACGCTGGGCGTCGAGAGAGTTCAGTGTAGGTTGTCCCAATGCATTGAAACGAGACGAGTCATTGGATAAATGCTTGTTTTGTCCCGTTCTCTTCCATTGATCTCAGTTAACCATTGTGTGGTTAACCATTGTGTGTGCACTTCCACACAAGTATACAGTAATTACTGACAGCTGCTTGTCACATGACACATCTCCTCCAGCCCTATGTCAGTTATATCAGGTAGGGCTTCCTGAAATGCAACTATCTTTCAGGGCGTGTTTTTACTCAGACATCCATGCACAATTCTAAGAGTGGATGTGTTTGGCGAGGAGGAGTGTGCTCCGATCGCTTTCATTTCTGAATGCAGCCCGCATTGTCACACCATGGCCCTAGTCGGAGCAGCTAGTGCACACAGACACTCGTTTTTTGGTGCACTCTGGATAACCGAACGGCAAATTGAGCAACGCATTGTGTTTTCCGAATAGTCAGAGTGAACCAGTGTGTTCTGAGTATTTCCGAATACGTAATCAGTTCTTCCTCATTGTGTGTGCGTGTGTGTGTGTGTGTGTGTGTGTGTGTGTGTGTGTGTGTGTGTGTGTACCCAGTGATGTGATCATGTTGGTTGAAACATTACCTAGACCTTAGATTGTTGTTTGTAGATGTCACCTTAGAGACGGTTACAAAACATAGGTACAGTACACCTTTGCAAACTCGCCCCGAAGCTTCCCCAATGGGTAGCATGTTGAAAGACAACAATGTCATTGTCAGTTGGGCGGCCATCTTTGACAGAGCATTAGGTGGACTCCGCATTCTTACCCCTAGGGCTCTCCACTTGGGCGGCCATCTTGGACAGAATGTTGGGTACATTTAGCATTCTTATGCCTCTGTCTCCCCCTTGTCGTGGCCATATTGACCAAAACATGAGGTAAACTCCAGATTCTTGTGACACCTACTCAGTTCAAACCATTCCAACTTCAAATTAGTCATCACATGCAGCTTTCACCCTTGTAAGAGTCAGCACGTCCACGCGTCTGTCGTGTATACATTTGAACAGATAGAACATGATTTGCAAATCATTGTATTCTGTTTTTATTGATGTATAATCATCCCAACTTCATTGGAATTGGGTTTGTATGTGCCTTTAGAGTGCTTGTTCAAGGTCTTCTTTGACAGAACGATAGCAGGTTAACCCACCTTAATGTATCTTCATTCATACTACAATGAGGATTGTATGCTAACCCATGCTACCGTTTGTTCCCCTGTTCAGACTGCCTGTTTAAGGTATGTCCAATGAGTCGCTACTCCGCACAGAAGCAGTTCTGGAAAGCCAAACAGGCGAAGCATGAGAAAGACAAGATTGGGGATGTGGTCCTGCTGCAAAAACTTCAGGTAAGCTTCACATCCACACCATTTCGTTCACAGAAAAAGTCATTTTAGAAGTACACTTTTGGATTTAGAAACAACTAATTATGTGTAATTTTCTGTTCCTTGGTCAAATTGTCAAAAAAGTTTTATGATCAGTCACATTGTTGCACCCTCGACTGTAATACCACCATGCAGGGAAGTTTACCACTGCATGTTAAAAGTAAAATAATGAGAAAATACTCATGTTTTGAGGACATGTGATGGAGGGAGAAAAGGAAGTTGTTTGCTGAGCAATGCTGTCCCGTAGTGTTTTTTTTTTTTTTAATAGTTTTTACTGGAATTCAAAAGCCTTTTCTGGAGGAAATGAAGACCTGGATAGCACTACATTTATTGAATTTCAATGAAGGGAAAACATAAGTGATGGTGTTTGGTCCCAGTGGCCCTTGTACATCCCATCCTGTGGACTTGGTCCCCCTGGCTCCTTATATTCAGCCAACACTCTTGAACTTGGATCTTAAACTGGACAGTGATTCCAAATCGGACTGGCAAATTGGTGCCATTGTTCAATTCAGCTTCTTTCACCTTAGGCAGCTGGCTAAAGTCAAGCCTCTCCTTTCTCAAGAGCACTTTGAAACAGTCCTTCATGCCTTCGTCACGTCCCGGCTGGATTACTGTCATACACTTTATTTTGGAGTCATTATATAGACATTTTGATTGAAAACAATTCTGACCAACATTTATAATTCCCATTTTTTCCGCTCTAAAAGGCGCAACTAAAAGCGTTCCACTTTCTCAAACGCCGACAGTGCGACTTATAATCCAATGCGCTTTATATATGGATCAGTATTCTGATTTCTTGGACGTAGTATTTTAAAATATTTTGTGAAGCTCTTTGTTTCAACTGCCGCAGTTGCAAAAGCGCAATATAAATAAAGCTGTGTTGTATTTTATTCTCTTTAGCATCGCACCATTTAGTGGATGATTAACCCAAACTCAGCCACTATTGTAGCTTCTATTTCATGCGCCTTAAAATGTGGTGCGCTTTATATATGAAATCAGTTTTAAAAAAGGAGATTAATTGAAGGTGCACCTTATACTCCAAAGCACCTTATAGTGCGGAAAATACGATATATATGTAGGCTCACCTGTGGATGAAATAGTGAAGTGTGTCTCCTCATTGCCAAAATGCACTCAAGTACGGGTGATCATGGCAGCCTGAAAAAGTATCCACACTCTTCACTCTCCAGTATATAGATAATGTGATTCAAAACAATGCTTATTGAAATTTATGATAATATACCTGCATGTAGGCCTACCTGTGGATGGAAAAGTGAAGCGTGTAGAATCAGCTGGCAAAATGCATGCAAATATGTAGCGCAAAATGCGTCGATCAATGGGTCAGATCAAATGTACACAGCTGGAGTAAAAAGTGGTAACAACTCAAAAGATTGAAAATGACATTTAAAAAAAAACAAGAACATGTTGATCCCATCACGTTTATGTTTGGCATTTGTATTATTGCTCAGCATCAGTGAACTCCAGGTGGCCAATACAGTCACGTGGTGACCCCTGGCCATCAGGCTCCCGTTAATGTTGCACCATGAAATATGTGTGTTTTTGTGTGTTTGTGCGTGTGGTGTAGCATGCATCAAACTTGGAACAGAAGCAGAACGAGACAGAAAACAAGAAGGTTCATGGGGATGTGGTCAAGTATGGAACCGTCATCCAGGTACTGTTTTTGGCAACTTTCATAAAACTTTCACTGAAGTATTGTTGTGTAAAACAATTAACTCTTTGCACACACTGACACCTCCTCCATCATCTTGGCAACCCTTATCCCTCTGCTGCAATAGACGTGTGTGGTCATGTACTAAATGCACACGCATTTTTCATTTAATATTGACTCTGTTTCAACGCACACACACTTACACACACTGGGCGTGGTGGGTGCTCAGTGAGATTCCTGTGGAAAAGTGTGTGTGTGTGTGTGTGTGTGTGTGTGTGTGTGTGTGTGTGTGTGTGTGTGTGTGTGTTTGCGTGGGTACGCGGTTGCTTGTCTGTTTGTTCTTTTTATGACTGATAAATGCTTTTAACCCTGTGAAATATTCTGCCTGTGGCCATGAAATGGTCCACTGCAACATTTTACTGCACACACACCAAAAAATTCATTCATTATCATTTAATGTCCTGTATTTTGTATTTTAGTAAAATAAAAATAAACAATAAAACCCTGTAATTATGTAAATACATGTAAATGGTCAGACAGGTCCCAACTCCCAAACTTAATTTGGGTGAGGAAACCTTAATGTACTGTTAAAATTTCTTTTCCACATGAAAAGACCACTGTTGTAATATTACAAAAACAAAGTTGCAATATTTTCAGGAAAAAAAAACACACAAGGTGTGTGAGAATTACATCGTAATATTACAAGAAAAAAAAGTTGTCATCTGTTGTCACCTTGGCCTCATTGGCTCCCAAACCCTGCCGCCAGTCACAAAAATCCCTGTCTGATTGATCTCGCGAAAAAACTTTATAAATGCCACATTTATATTCGACAAGGCTTTGGCTCCTCACCTCCTGCTTTGCTTGTATTCTTTTAGCGGACGACTGCTTTCTTTTCTTTCTATGGATTTCTATTGGATATTATTCAGATCGATGTGTCTGTATTACTGTTTTTTTCTTTTTTTTTTTTGATACTGTCATCTGGGGCCATTTTTTTAAACACTTTTTGTTAAATCCTCAAGATAACGTGAGCATTGCCTGCTAATTACCGCAAGAGTGCTATTAGCGACAAGGCTAAGAGCAAGATGCCACTCATCTCCACTAGTGAAGACAACAAATTCCTTCAGAAAAGTGCTGGAGACAAAAATGCACCGCCTCAAATTGTTTGTGGAGGTGAATGGGAAATTAGGCAATGAGACTGCGCTACCAGTGGCTCCAAACAGTGGACACAAGCATGCTAATGGACAGCCAGGTCCATTCAACAACCCTTCTTGGAATTTGCTGGGAGTAAAGCCAAAAGTGAGGAGTTTTCACCCAAAAACCAGACCTGACCAGCAACAAATTCATGAGGAGTCCAATCAGATCATGCAAGAGGTTGCATTAATACCAGGAAATCAGTCTTGGACCGGCAAGAAAAAGGAAACCATCTTACGGACAATGAAAACAAAACAAAGGCATTGAACTGGGTAAAATGTTTGCCTTACTGTCACCTGACCAGGAACCTTCGGCCTTATTTGGCATCAAATATCTATGTAATAGCAAGAACACAAAGGTCTGGTGTTTTGCTTATGCCATGGTGTCTAATATTTCTGAAAAACCCGAGAAGATAACTACTGAGCATCTGACTGTCAGATCGGTTAGAATTCACTGCGGAGCATGAGGATGTGTTGCAAAAAACAGTCAAAGATACTGAAGCAACTTTGAAACAACTTTGATAACATTCTATTAGTGTAGATTTTTGTGAATTTTCGGGCCATTGGTCGTGTGGTTGAATGATAAGCTTGAAGAGCAGGTTTTATGTTTTTATGGCCTCTGTTATCTGGTTTTCTTAGTTATGTGCCCGTGACTACCTGTTTGTGCAGTGTGACCATGGTGCTGTGTTCCTTTTTTGAAAAATTGTTTTTACGAACCCGTCTGTGCCATTAGGGTCTGCTATTAGCCACACTGCTAACACTGAGACTCTGGACTCTGTTACCAGCGATCTCTCAAATACCCGCTTCTCTCATGGATATATCCGTTCTTTTTTAGCACACGTCACCATCATAAGAAAGGCTCAGAAAGTGCTTTGCAAGGTCAAGCAGTGGACCCAAGACAGCATTTTAGCCCTCCAACTGTGTTTTGAGACCACAGTCCGGTCTAATCCCTCCAGCAGCATAAATGAATAGGTTGACACATTATGTGTGGATACTATTACCCCCTCCAAAATTGTCACTACCATTCCAGACAATAAACCCTGCTTTACCAAGGAGCTGAAAGGAATTATCTACATGATAAAACCTTTCGGTCTAAGGTTTGTTTTTTTCCAGACAAAAAAAAAACAAAAAAACACTGACTTGGCTGACAGTTGCTTCAGCCTTTATCGTGTCTTTAAGACACGCCACTAGGAAGTAGTGACAGCGCCGAAGAAGGTTGAAGCAAAAGCCGAAACTGTCAGACAGGTGGGAATTTTTCTCTTCCCCCCAAAAAAGTTAATTGTCTGGAAAAAAGAAACCTTAAAACTAATTTAACCGTAAGTAGACAAGATGATCGTCATGGACAAAACCATTTTTTTCATTTACTTTAAGCATTGAGGCTTACCATGCAATTGGTTTGACTCATGTCGAGGCTTCAAATGTTCAATTCCCTCTGGTATCACCAAGTGGACATAACAACATGCAAGGAAGAGGTTGTGTTATACAGTCAAACCTCGGTTTTCGAATGTCTCTGTAAAATCGGATTTCGACCAGAAAATTTACACCTTGGATTACGACCGGAAACTGGTTTTTTTCAAAGCTGAGCAAACCCGAATACGCCACTCGACTCCTCTCGGCTTCCTTACACAAGGAAATGACACTTCCTCGTGTAACGTTCATTGTGAGCAGACGTGTTTCTTGTGATTCATGCAAATCTGACTGTTTTTTTTTTGTTATTCCTGCATAATCATGGGCTAATAAAATGGTTTCGGATTTCGAACAAATCACTTTTTGAACTGTCTTCTGTAACGGATTATGGTTGAAAACCGAGGTATGACTGTATTTTGATGAGGATTAAACTCATTATGACATGAAATCGACATGTAAAAGGTGGAGGAAAATGTAGTAATTGAGTCTGTACTGTCGTGGATTAAAAAAAAATGTATTCACATAAAAAGATTGATCTTACTCATTTTTATTTAAAACTAAGTTTTTCAACTGTTTTGGGGCTCAGTCTGTTTCTGTTTTTCTTTTTTTTTTTTTTTTTTGAGCGAGAATCTCCCCCGACTTTAAAAAAACCCTTTCACATGGAACAGATGAAGTGGGGATGCACAAGGAGCTTTGTGCAAGTTTAAACACGTTTGGGTAAATTCTTTCTTTCTGGGTCCACTAGTGCAGGGGATCATCATGCCGATGAATATTCAGTTCTCTCAGGTACTTTTCCTTTTCAATAATGGAGTCAGCTGTGCAACTGCTGTGCACTGACATCCAAATAATGCCACAAACACAAACAAGTAAAGTAACTGCCAAAATCGGGCTCACTAAATGAGCATGACAATAAACTTGCAACAGTATAACTTTATCTGTACAGCGAGGAGCATCTGTTACGGCTGGTGAGGATGGGTCAATGGAGAAGGGGGAGGTGGAAGAGGAGGAGGAGAAGGGAGGCAGCGGGAGCAGAGGAGGGTGGCACCATGGCTCTTACAATGGCAGCACACTGCCTCCATCGCATGTGGTTGATGTTAAATCAGGACCTGAACTTCTCGATCCGCTTCTTGAACCCGTCCAGTGGCACAGCTTTCGAGGCTTCGACTGTTGTCTACTCTGTCTTTGTCATTTTCTCAGTGCTCGCTTCAAATACTCGCTCTATTATTTTGACTTCAAAATGGCGCCGCGAGAGTGGCTGCCTTTCCAGCAGCTCCTATATTTTGTTGTTCTACTTCTTCCTTTCATAACTTTGCTGCTGTGAATTGGGAATTTCTCCATTGCGAGACTAATAAAGGTTTTCTTATCATATCTTATCTTATCTTATCTTATTTAAATCGGTACACCCAGTGAAGACACGACACTGAGGACACATCGCTAACAGCTAGTCTAAGAAAAGTTTCATAAATACTCTAGTCCAGTGCCCCTGCCTTCATCTTCACCACAGAGGATGTGGTGAAAGCCCTCAGGAGAAGTTTAAATTTGATGATACACATATTGAACAACTCAAAATGAAATGTGGGTTTTTTTAAGATCTTTTTTTTTTTTGGACTGAAACTTAATGGGTTTTTAATGTAAAATCAGCAAACACACGAACTATCAACATGACATTGAATGAACAGAATGTTATCAACCACAATTGAGGTCAACGTGCAGGACGCTTGGCAAAAAAATTATTTTCATATAATCGTATAGTGCATTTTATACATTTATTTCCTGGGATGGAAATGTCCTGGGGGCCTCACCCCACCAGGAATAGGAACTGTGTAACCTTGTCGAGGTGTGACAGCTTAAACCTACCTAGTGCCTGCCCGGGCTCGGTGCATTGGAGAGCCTGTCACCTTGGGGGGTTTACGACACTTGGATGGCACAAATGAGCAGTTCTGCCCCTGACTCATGTCAGGGATTCACAGCCCGTCAGTGTGCTGTAAGGTGGCAGCCCCACCAGCTAACTAGCCATCGCAGGGCCAACTACCCAGCATGGCGAAAAGAAACAGTTACGAAACCCACTGAAGCAACCAGATTTAACCGGACCGACCTTCCTGGAAACAGACCTCCGCCTGCACCTGACCAACGAAATTTGGACCTCCGCTATAAAACCCGCATTGCCTGTTTGATCATCCAGACACTCCTGTGCCCCGGCTATCCAACACTACTCTCCCATGAACTTTCCAGGTGTAACATCACCCTTGCTGGCCTTTGTGAATCACGCTGGCGCGGAACCGGGGAAACCACCGCCGGCGACCATCTTTTTCTGTGGAGCGGCCCGAATGATGGGAGAGGCCTCCACGGTGTAGCCCTAGCTATTCCGCTATACCGACGGAAGTCCATCATCAGCTGGAAGCAGTC